AATTCACTGCTTATTTTACAGAGAGTTGCCTGTGCAAAGCGTTAAACAATTGAGGCATCTTTGCACAGTGCTCTTGGGCTTCATATATGGGAGGCTTCCTCTACTCAAAAGCTCAGCACTTGCCTTCATGAGGATTTTTAAATGTAAGAAAGATTACTCTTACTGCTGGATTAGCTCCCCATTCCCACTGATGCTCATCAGGGGCTGACGAGGGTACAGGTTTTCTCTGTATTTAAATAAAAATTACCTTTTAAAAAGTTACTTAACATATGAAGGAAATGTATTGGTTTTCTATATAACGAAGAAGAAAATTAATAGTGGAAAGCTGTGTCTTTGGGGACATGTTGAAGCTTGATGAATTCATTTGTTGTGTTTCAACTGTACATTTGCAGTGTATGGGATTGTTTTTTAAAAGAGAGAATGCAGTTTTTTTTCTCTTGAAAGCTGCTGCTCTGGAAACGTTCCTTAGGCTCAGCAATGCTATCATGAGATAGCAGTTCTGGTGGCTCTTTTCGTGGGGAAACAAGGAGAGTGCCTCTGTGCTCACTCAGTGTCAGCCACCCTCCTCTTGCAGCCTGCCTGCTAAGCTGATAGCACTGGCAATGCTGAGGGCACTGCTGCATTCGTGTCAGTTCCATTAAAGAGGCCTTAAGTAACACATTTATTATTGGTGTTTGGACTCTTTCTATTTTAAAGACACTTTAAAATAGTAGTTATGGAATATAGAAATGTAGTTGTAAAATGTAGGAATAGTTCTGTTCGTTCAACACAAGAACACCCTGCCACTGGCACCTTTCTTACTTTTCATATGTTCTTTCTTACTTTTCATCATCTTGCTTGAGGCCAGAAGTTTAGGGTTTTCTGTTTAAGAAATAAGGGCTGGAAGAAACTTAAACTCATCCTATTTGGGTAGATAATGCAATCCTGGAGTGAAATGGTTTAGTGCTACAGCATCCTAGTGGTGGTCTGAAGGTGGCTGGGAGGGGGGGCAAGGCACTGGGAGCAAGCAACAGTGTAAGTGAAGAGGAGCTGTATCTGCCTTGTGGAGAACAAGGTTGTGTGCACATGTAGTGACCCTGTTTGATCTGCATTTGCTTGGAGGGAATACATCCTTCTGCTGTGCAAGTCTGCAAGTGTCTCAGTAAACGTTCTTTATGTGATCATACTTACTGCTACTGTCAGAGAAGCTTCACACACAGAAGCTGTATCCATCAATTGAAGCTCCAGTGCAGCCACTTGCCCTTCATTGAGTTTTGCAGTCTGTGCCTCTCAGTAGCTACATCCCAGAGCAGTGCTGTCATACTCGGGATTTACCACCTCCTCAAGAAAGCCTCTGTCACCTGTCTAAAGGTCTGTTGTGTATGTCTGGTGTGTAACCTACTCTTGCTTCTCAGAAGAAGCTGTCATGGAAGCATGACGAGATGATACCACAGCTAATGCATTCCGCCAGAGAGACATGCGGATGTGAGAGCAGCTTTGGAGACAACCGTAACTCCAGATTTGTATCTCTCAGTTCTCAGCATTCCTCAGCACACTGATTTGGCGCTGATGGCACCCAGCTCTCGGGAAAGTGTTTCCTATAGGGCTCCTTCTGGAATGAGGCTAATTTGCCACCCTTTTAAACAGATTTCAAACTTCATACTGAAGAGGGTGTTCTGGGCTGGGATGGATATTTCTCATTTCGTGGACACAGAGCCTGGCTTTCCATGAGAGCTGCCAATGAGACTGAATCCCAGGAAAATGAAGTGCAGTAAAGTCTTTACAATGGTTATAGCTGAGGTTAGGAGGTTCTTCAGCTGGCTGTAAGAGACCCTTCAAACTTGATGCAGCACAATTGCTCTACTCACTGAGTGGGTGCTGCAAGCCAGGAGTCAAATGCGTTCCCTTGTGTTTGAGCCTTGGTGCAGCTGAGGGGGAGTCTTTCACAGCCTTCACCACAGGGGTGGATGGCAGCATGTAAGGTTTCCCCAAAGCCCCTTTATAAACAAACCCGTATCAGTGTCTTTGAAAGGCATAAAGACTGCTGGCTTCAAACTCCTGAATTGATACCGCTGTAGCAGTCCTATTTCCATCGAGCACTGCGCAGCCCTTGTGGTACGTATTATTCTTGTGTTCGTTCCATTTCTAAAAGAGGAAATACAGGAACATGCAGCAAACCCAAAGGGTGAGACTTCTGACTGCGGTTAATTGCGACAAGTTGGTGACAGTGAGACCAAGGAAAATTCCACTTGCAGACAGGCTCTTTTTCTCACAGATGCTAACGGCGCTTTTCTGGTTTGTGCTCTGCCCCTTGTAGTCTTGGCTGTTGCCACAGAAATTGCCTTTCATGCGAATCTTTTCTACAAGTTCCTAAATGCAGATGTGCTTTCTTGAGACGTAGCTCCTAACATACGGAGACTGGGCAAAGGCAGAGTCTCTCCCTCCTGCCGTGGTTATCTGCAGTGCTCTAAGGGATGTGAATAACAGCAATGGATAAACACGTGAGAATCAACAGAACTGCAAAGGTAGGTCTGGTTTTGTGAGTACAGCGTATAAACAACTAAGACAAATGGGGCCTAGAGAAGGGTTTGATTTTTAATCCAGCGTGGCGCTGCTGATGTGGGAAATGCTTGGTGTTCTCTTGAGCCGCACAGAAAGCTCTTTACGATGCCCATGTACTCACTGTCTCCTGGTGCTCTCTGTTGCTACAAAGCTATTAACCATAAGGAATGTCTTCCTGGGGAGGGCTCTGAATAAAGCAGGCTCCCCAAGTAGCACATACCTGTGGATAAACACATTTGTGAGATAGTAAATATGTACCTTCAAGCTTCCAGCAATTTTCCTCTATCCTGTAGTAACATTAGAGATGTGGTTATGCTGTCAGAGACTTCCAGTGACAGTCCAGGTGACCTGCTGTGTGATAGATCATTTCCCTACGTTACACACAAACCATTTTGAATACTGTATTTGTTTAGTTTGAAAGACTGGAACAAGCTTATGAGGGGGTTGGCTTTTATTTGTGTATTCCTATTGCATCTGCTGTAATTTTATGTATATATTCATAGATAAAATACCCTGCTGTAGCTATAAGGGTTAGAGAATGCTGAAGTCTTGATCCAAAGTCAGTGCCTTGATTGTGCTCCTGTCTGCAAGTCTAATGAGCAGGGAATTATTAGTTTCATCCTGGGTTATGATCTCAGTGTTCATTGTAAATAAACTGCATTCTGGAAATTTGATACGAAACACAGTGGGGTTAAAAAGCTCAGTACCAGCACGGTGAGTCCTTTTTTTGCACTCAAAAGTTGACATTGAGGCATGTAAAGCTAAGAGGACTCTTCTCCATGTGAAGTAATCAGAAATGATGTTTTTAATGACACAGAATCATACGATTTCTATACAAAGAATGGAGTTTCTATTTCTAAGAATGATATTTTCAGTTTTCTGAATTGGCTAAAGAAACGTAATGGTGGTAGCAAGCTCATTTCCCATCTTGCCGTGCGATCTTCAGACATGGCCACAGCACACCCAGTCAAATTCAGCTGAGTAACAACTGAAAAAGTCCGATTTATTTCCACTATGTAATTTATTAGCTGTTTCTAAGGTTCCTGCTCCCCTGGCAGTGCTGTTCATTGTAATAGTTGAATGTGACAACACAAAAACAACAGGAATGTGTTCTTTCTACTAGATGGACTTGAAGCGCCACATGCCAACCATCAGTAGCTTTGGTGGGACAGGTAACGCTCTGCAGTTACCACCGTGCCCAAACTATCCCACCTTCACAAGGAAAACTGGTTCTGAAATGAACCCAGGGCACAAGCAGAGCTGGAGAAATGATGCAACTCCTTTCTTGTTGCACATACACCTGCGACACAGTCTGCACAGGAAATGTTGCACCTCGTGGTGCAATCTAAAACAGTTTGCATGACGGCCTGCGCTTAGGAAAGTTCTTGTACTGTTTGGCAACATTGTCTGTTGCCAGAGAAAAATAGGAGAGGGTTTTTAAACACGCATTAAGTTGGTAGGAGGTTTTCTCCCCTTCCAAAATGCCCAGTTCACATATTCCCATCCTGTCGGCAAACAAGTGCGATGTGGTTATGTGGGTGATGTGTGCACCCACAGCCCCAGGTGCAGGCCATCACCCCCCAGGCTCCATTTCCAGCACCTGGAGGTAGATAACATGATTCAAAATAGGATTTGCCAAAGGTGATGCACTGAACAAGGAGTTCCTTAGCCAAGAGAAAATACTGGAGAGTCTCCATCTTCCTCAGACAATAAATCTGGGGCTGTTCTCAGGCATGCAGTCAAGTAGAAGTGGCAGTCAGGATGCAGTCAAGTCAAGTGCCCAGCTTTCCTGGGGAAATCTTACATGTAAAACTTCAGTTGTGTCATGGATGGAACAGTCCTGACCCAGGGAATTTTAACATCATGTAATTTATGCCAGTTAATACAAACTTCTAATCACTGGTGTGGGTGGCAGAGGTAGAACCATGGACAATTAAGCAAGCACTTAAGTAAACACCTTCGGGGGGGGGGGAATACACTCTGTCCGCCCCAGTTTACAGAATCCCAGACTGGTTTGGGTTGGAAGGACCTTGCAGCTCACCCAGTTCCAACCCCTGCCACAGGCAGGGACACCTTCCACTAGAGCAGCTTGCTCCAAGCCCCTTCCAACCTGGCCTTGAACACTGCCAGGGATGGGGCAGCCGCAGCTTCTCTGGGCACCCTGTGCCAGCGCCTCAGCACCCTCACAGGGAAGAAGGGAACATTTAGTTGTATTTGACAGTAGCTTTGTGTCCACAGCCTTGTCACTTGTATTTCTGTATCATTTCAAATGCTGGTGACATAGTTAAAAATCCAGGTCAGACAGTGAATGGCTGCTCCTTATCTTCTTTATGAAGTGTTCAAACCAGTAACAGTGCTGGTTGTGACATGAAAGAAAGAAAAGCAAAGCCCCAAAAGCACTGAAATGAGCTGCTTTGTGCCAGGAATCCTTTCTCATGAGAACAAGGGCATCAGCTGCTGGTCTGCCCCATGTAGATTTTGTTGAGAAAGCATTTTCAATGCAGCATTTCCTATTCAAGATGCTTGGCTTTTCTAGCTGCGTGATTGTGGGTTTGGGAGCCAGTGTCTAATTTCATCTTGCACTGCCATGGAAAGAGGAAGGAAAAGACTTTTGCCAGAGCAAAGGCAGCATGTACAAAGGCAAAGCCAGTAGAAGTTTGCAAACCCCAAGATACTCACAAGGGCAGAGTGGTAAAATCTGTGCATTTGTGTAAGTGTGACCCAGGCAGAGCTGTTGTTGAGCAAATAGCAACTATGGGTAATTTTAAATAACTGCTATTTAATAATATTACAGATTCAGTTTAATAATAACCAAAGGAACAAACCCCTTCAGCTGCAGTCACTGTGTAGCTTTCAGGTTTTCTGCCCTTGAAAGAGATTATTTTGCAGGGATTTCTGTGACAACAGAGAACTGCTCAGTTTTCCAGGGACCCGAACACCTCAATCTAAAAGCCAAACCCCTTTTAAGTTCAACAAACCAAGAGTAAAGAGCGATGCTGCAAGCAGCGCTTCAAACCCAGCCCCACCGCCCCGCGGCTCCCAGCTCGGATGCGGTTGTGAAGCACAAAGGCGCTCCCTGGGGCGGCTGCCGGAGGGAGGGACGGACCGGACGGAGGCCGTGTGTGTGCCCGCACGGCCCCGCAGCAGCTGCCGGCGCTGCAGATAACTCCGCTGCGTGATCAGCTCCCTCTGCTCCCAATCGCTGCGCTCCTCCGGGGCTGCCCTTGAGCGCAGCGGGGCTGGAACGGGGCTTCCAGCCTGACCCTTCCCTGCTGCTGCCGCTCTGCTTGGGCTGGGAGAGGAAGGGTTGGGGGAGATCTCATCGTCCTCCTCCTCAGGTGATGGAGTAACAGGGAGGTAACAGCAAAATGAAGGTCAATGTAAGTACTGATTTATTGTATTTCTGTTGCAGCTAATGACTGTACTTACTTCATTTGGAGTGGAAACGTGGACAGTGTAAAACCTGTATTTATCAGGATCTCTGTTCACAGCACGCTGCTAATCCTATCACAGAGTATGGGGTCTTAGTCTTTAAAATACAATCCAAATCAAGCTGAAAAAAAGTGCTTTATCAAGAACAACGGTGGGGTCAAGAAGGGCAAGGTTTTGTACCCTGCACATGAGGCAATATTACACCTTGTTAAAGTGTTACCACGAATGGTCCTGGTTGCTCATTAAGATGTCTTTTGGTTTGCATATTTTCTTGGAAATAATGAGCTTAAATGAATAACATTTGAGCCATATGTTATAATAGATATATGGGTTGGGTTTTTTTCACTGATTACTAGAAAACGGGCAATGGAAATGTGTCACCAACTTGAGCTGCTTTTTGCAGAAGAAAACGTCAATGAGTTGTGCAAGCTTGGGAGGTGTTCATTCTAGGATAACACTGCAGCGCTCTTTGCAAAGAGAACTGAAGCTCAAAAGAAAGGGGTGGTGGTTGTGTTCACCTTTAGGGAATACTGCCCTGGGATGGAAGGAGGGGGAAGAAGTGGATGCATCAAAAACATGACTTTAAACTGGTTTACAGAGTCCTATGTTAATGGCTTTGCCCAAGCCTCCAGTCCCACACGCGGAGGCTCCTGGCATTATCCTGCTTTGTGCTAAGGAGCATTTCTTTGGCTTTGAACAGGGGTGGATGTTGCAGCGTGATGTGCAGCTGATCTCTGGCAGCTGTGACTCGGGCAGGGTCTGTGCGGTCCCCGTGTGCCTGCTGTTAATGACAGGGGAAGGGGCAATGTCCAGCTGCTGCCCTGAGCCAGGATGCACACAGGGGGCCAGGGCAGGAGAAAACCCTCCCGCATCCTTGCCCAGGGAAACATTAACATGCCAGATAAAGGCAGCTTGGTCCCAAAGGGTAGTCTTGAACAGGAATACCATTCTGGGGCAGATAACTGCGCTGGGAGAGCTGGAGGAAGCCGCAGCGTTTGGGAGTTGTGATGTCGCCGCTGATTCATTATGAATCAGAGAACAGCCACCCCTGAACTGCTGCCCTTGCGCTTCTGTCACTTCTGATGCGCCCAGGGAATCAGCAGGTCAGATGGGATGTGGGACGCATCCTGGCCCGCCTGTGCACCCAGAGCAGGGATGTACAGCAGTGCCTGCAAATCCTACAGCTTGCTCCTGATAATGCACCCTAGGAATTGTTTGCTTGTTCCCTGGACAGGCAGAGGAAGGGAAAGAAGGACCCTGCTCTACTGAGTCTCTGAAGCATCTATTGCTTAGGAGGCAGACAGAGAAAACTTGTGTGCATCAGAACTTTCTGGATCTTTAAATCCACATTTGGAAATAAATGTTGTAGCAAAATGTAATTAAGATACTAAAAGCAAAGTCATTTGGTGCATATGGGCAAAACTGTTTGCATTGTGGGAGGAACCAAACCCCATAAATGCATATTCTGGTTTCTAAATATCAGGAAATGGCAGTTTATTTTAACTTGAACTTAAGGCATGAGATCACACATGCAAAAATGTTGTGAATGGGAATGAAATCCTGATGGCACTGAAACAGGGAGAGGAGGGGTCTGTTGGTTCTAACACAGCTGGAATGTGATTAACTGTATTTGTGGAGAAAACCAACAGACCTGGCTTGTAATTCCCACCTCTGCAGCACTGACTAACGTGGAGCTGCACAAGTTCTGTCTCTCAGTGGTTCTGCCTCATTTGTTAAACTGGTTCTTCTTTATTGCATCCGAAACGGATTTGACCATTCAGAATTTCAAACCTGCTGATTAGCAGCTGGCTCCACTCTCAAAAAATCAATTAACCACTGAATAGGCGATAAAAGCAAGCCCTGACACCCATCCCTTGTTGAAGCTCATGCAAAAAGGTCTGAAAAGGCGTGATCAGATCACTTACATTCCAAAACACACAAACACAAAAGCATGGGTCAAGGACCTTCTGCAAGTCACAGATGTTGCACATCAAGTGGGACGCAAGTAGAAGGAAGGCATCATGCATCACATGCATGTGGAGAAAGAGCTGAGCATTCAAGGTGGATTCTCCTTTCTTCGGTGGGATGTTGAAGATGTGAACCCTGTCTACAATTAAAGGAATGGGGCAATTCAAGTGACTCAGCCTGGTGTGCTGTTTAAATGGGGCTTCTCTGGAAAGCCTGTTCCCAGCGCACCGGGCAATGGAGAATGTTTATTTCTTCAGCTTTGTTGGTGGTGAGGGGATTAACTGGAAGCAGTTCTGTAAACACATCACAGGGTGTCACTGACGCATGAACATCACCGTTCAGCAAGCACAACCTCTTGCCTTTAGTTGTATCTTCTCCTCAAATACGTCCAATTCCATTTTCCTGCAGTAAAGGTGCTTGCAGATGTTTTTTTAATGCATGAAATGCAGCTGAGAAATATTTGTCTTCACCCACAAAACCTCGCATGATTAAAACTGTCTCTTTTTTAAGATTGCTTTAATAGGGTTTTTTTAATAAGCAAATTTAAGACAGCAGACAAAAAATGTTATTTTTCATTTTAAATGCTGTGAGGTACTACGTACCTCTGTGTCACGTGAAATAGTGTGTAGCAGTGAACTGATGTTCCAAATACAACTGAGTGGGAAGGGGCGGGGTAGAGACATTATGGCAGACTTGCAGGCAGGATGCTCACATTATCACTTGATAATCATGAAGGTTTTTTATGCAACATTTGCATGTATTTTATAAGGACTAAAAGGACTTCTCTTTTCTGTTGTAGGCTGAGGATAGGGATTGGAACAAGAGAGGGATCGGGAGAACTTAGTGGGCTTTTTTTGCCCTAGTAAAAGCACAGGTATTTACTGTGTATATAAAGCACAGATGTCAGTCTGTGAGTACTGAATTCTGTATTGTAGAATTGTACAATTATCAACTTTACTGAGTCCTAATTAAAATTTTCCCTCTTTTCATTAATAAACATGTGCTAACAGCTTCATTGTGAAGATTGCCAAGGGCTGTTAGGTTTTATAGTGGGAGTGCTGCTGGGTAAGGATACACAAACAATAAAGATGTAAAAAGTCTGAGTTGCAGGGAGAATTGCTGTCTTAACATCTGATCTACACCCCAATGAAGGGAGACACCCTTCCAGCTACAGGAGAACTTTTCTGCATGCCTAAGTTAACTGAACCTGTGTTAGCAGAGGTCTTGCACTGTAAATCTCTTCAGTATTGTCTAGTGCGAGGCATCCCTGCCCATGGCAGGGGTTGGAACTGGATGATCTTGAGGTCCTTTCCAACCCTAACCATCCTGTGATTCTATGTGACTAACTTGCATCACTCCAACATGGTCATGGACTGTGTGGGGGAGAACAGTGTCTCGGTAAGAGGATGCAGACGCAGCCTCTGTTTTCTAGGTCTGTGCTCTGTCATTGTCTTGTTAGAATCTGCTCAGTGAGAGAAGAGTATCAGCACTGTCGGCGGGTGCTTTCTCATGGGGCAAGAGACTGGCTTTTAAGATGTTCTTTGTCTTGGGAGATTTCTGTCAGGGCTGCTGATGGGAAGAAGCAGCAAACGTCAAAGAAGGGGAAACAATTTGATCTCATGTGTTGCTTTAGCACTTACCACATGTGGGTTATTGTAAAGACACATTAATGAGGTTGCATAAAATAACAAAGAGCTGTACATAGCTGGCCCTCGATGGCATTTTGTGGGTGATAGCGTTAGACAGCCCGTTTCCGCTCCTCTGGCAATAAAGAGAAAGTGCAGATCCCATTGGCCCCCACAGCCCAGCTTCCTCCCAGCTACACATCCTTTAAGGTCTCTGTGATCCTGGGAATGCAGTACTTGTTTATGGTTAATGGCAGGTCAGAGATGCTTCTGCTTACACTATAGAAGGGGGCTGCCACAGTGATTCCCTACATATGTCCTGGATAGCTGAAAGTGTAGATAGGGCCCAAATTTCTGATTAACAGCCCACACTGGATGAACCAGAGCCTGTAGTACACATAACCTCACCCCATGTTACTGAGTAGACCTCCACGATGTGTGCTATCAGGTCGAGCACTCACCCCATAAGCCTCCTGTAACTTTTGTGCATAGAATTACTCCCAGGGATTGTGATCACAGAATCAGTTGGGGTGAGTTCTCTGAGATGTCTCCACAAATCAGACTTTGGAAAGCAAATGGGAACAGATTTGGCATCCAGTAGCTCCTCAGTAACTCAGTTTCTTCACACGATCAGATGGAGCCAGCAGGATGTTGAGCTGGCTGTGGGCAGCACAGGACAGGGCACAGGCAGAGTGCTGGCTTCTTCCCCAGCCCCACCATGCTTTGGTTTACTCAGCATGGCTGTATGCTCCTCATAGGAGTCTTGCTAGGGGTTTAATGTCAGTGGAACATGGATATATCAAATCTAGCTTTCATAACTGGCCCAGCTCAGTGGCTCCAGCAGGTTTTTCTAGTGCCATAGGATTCAGTGCCATCTCAAACTCCGCTGGAAAACCAACTACCAATAGCAAACTCGTTGCTGACAGAACTACAGCACTTGTCTGTATCAAAGCTTGCTAGTTCAACACTTGCTTGCATGTATATCCTATAAAATAGCTAACCACATCAGTGCCTGTGATGCTAGTCATTGCTGTGAGCTTGTTACAGTCGATTTTACCAGTATTAGACTGACCCTCAACATCTGCTTCGGCATCCTGGGCTAATACTTGTTGAATCCACATCTGGGACTCCTAAAAACTAATGGAGCTTATGTGAACAGTATTGCCTACATTCCCTTGGAGATAACGCTGCGCAGAAGAAATGCTTTCACATCAGCCCTGGTGCAGTCAGGTCCTGAGAGGCTGCATGAGCAACCAGAATGTTTGGAAAGGAAATGAGAAATAAAGGGGACTTACTAGTCCTGTAAACAGAGGAGCAAAGGAGAAGAGGGAGCAAAATACAAAGGTAGACCTGCTTGACCTGTTCTTACACCTTGTGCAAATGTTCCTTCTTCTCTGTTGTTATGGAGGTTAGAACCGAGCAGAAATGCCTTACTTCTGTGGTGTGGTGCTAATTGTATTGCTCTTTTCAATGTATTACTGCAGCTTTCTGCCAGGCTGTGGGCACACAAGAGTCTGTTCATGGAAGATGTTGGCAGGGTTTTTTTGCTGTCTTAGTGATTTGGCTGGTGTGGGGGATTTGTGCCTCCTCATATCACACTGCGACAAGAGGATGTCCTCTGAAAGGGTTTTGCATGGGACTCCTAGTTACAAGTTACTGATATCCTCTGTGTTAAATGTTTCTACCTTTTATAAATCCCTTCAGAGGCTAGTTCCAAGTCAAAAGGATAAAGACCTTCATTAAAATACCTTCCTAAGTTTCTCTACCCTTTCAAAATGTACTGAAAAGTGTCACCAAGGGCTGCAAGCCTTGGGTCACTGTCACCTGGAACTGTATCTGCGCCACCGGCTGTCCTGTTGTGCCAGTGATGGGCTGGCTCTGCTGACAGAAAATCATGAAGAACCAAATTATATTGCTGTGCACTTCTGCAATACTGAAACAGAGTAGATGGAAAAGATTTGATCTCCAGCTCTATCACTGTGTCCTGAACCATGTGTTCTGAACCTTGAAACCTAATGTGGCACTGCCTTACATGGAAAAACCTTTTGGAAAGGTTCAGAGGTCTGACATCCTCCCAGTTTGTCCATGTTCTATAGTCTGGAGGTTGTGGCCTGTCTCCATCACTTTAGTTCCAGCCCTGTGTATGGGCTATGAGATGATCCGTGAACAGATTTGTTCCATCTAAGTCAGGTTTTCCAAAGTGTCCTATGATTTTTAATTTTTACTTTTTTAGTCCCCTGCTTGGCTTGCCATTGAGATGGTCTCAAGGGATCCTGGGTATCACTGCTGCCTACAGATGTGAGCTCACATGCCCTAAGTTGAGCTCGACAGAGCAGAGACCACCTTTCAAAATCTGAACCATTCTGCTTTGAAGGTACCCTGCTGTGGGCTACTTGCCCTTGGATGCTGGCACAGCTTTATTGTGCTGTGCTTCACAAGAAGGGACCCCTCTGCTGAACAGGTTTGTGACTTCCATGGTGTCAGTTTAAAGTTTAACTCTTCATTCAGTGTGAGTGCCCTGAATATATCACCTGCCTTTGCCAAATGACAAGGTGGTCAGTGGAAGAGCTTGGCTGTTGAACACAGAACTCCCTGTTGCTTTCATTGACCTGGCAGCTCTCTTGCTTCACTTGTTCTGCAGCAAAGCAGTTCCAGCAGTGCCTAGGGAAAGAAATGAGAGAATAGTTGGAATAATTTATCCTGCTAGGACCTGCTGCAGTCATGTTTGAGTATAGGAGGAATCTCCTCACTCCATGTGACTTAGGTTGCAGTCTCTGCAGAAATCCTCACTGATGTGTACAGGCCAAATTCCGACCCAGTGAAAATCAGCATATTTAAAACAAATTAGATTTGAGGTTAGATTAGCGTAGTTTCAATACATTGTCTGATTAAATAATCAGAACCACCAATGTGTTTAGTATGCTATTTCCACAAGACTTAGCTGGGGAAATGTCACATTTAGATGCCATTAAAACCGTACCGTGAACCTCTTATTTGTGTTGGTGCAGCTAGGAAGGACAGCCTCGTCTCGTGCACTAGTTCCTGGGTTCAGGCTTCCTGGCTCTGCCACTGATTTCCTGTGTGTGCCTAGATAAGGCTCTTCACATTGCAGTTGCCTGCTTGCAAATGGGGGAGAGTGTTTCTCTGCCCATCCTCTTCGGGTCAGAAGCAGGGGGTCTTGTCTTTCAGCGAGAATGTACAGCATTCAACAACAAGGGATCTACAAATGTTGCTGATGGATAATAGGAAAAGTTGGCTGATTTCCTCTTTATTTCGATAACTGCAACAATGTGTGAAGCCCAAGCCAAGCCTGGACTGTGCTTTGTGGTGGGATTCCTGGAGGCCTGCCTTCAACACAGGTGGTTCAGAGCATTTGGCATGGTCCAAATAGAAAGTGGACTCCCATGTTCAAGGCAAGAAGGCTGTTTTAACAAGGCTAGGATGCAAGGTAAATGGGGCTGTTGTTCATCTCTGGCAGCTGCTGAGGTACAAGCCCATGTATCATAAAAAGGCCATTGTTCATGGTCACCCTGACCAAGAAATGCATGCGGCGAACAACAAGCCATTTTCATCGGCTGAGCTGACAAATTGCTTTATTCCTGCTGCAACTTCAAGCCAGCTGTTGCTTTACAGCAAATGCTCTGGACAAAAATGCAAGGCATCACACTTCCTGTTTGGGTACTATCTCTTTGGACATTACTTGCATGTTCTGATAAGAAACTAATGCTTAAAATCAGCCAGTGTCCCACTGACTGGGAAGCAGTCAGTCTGGGTTTAAAGCTGCAAGAAAATGGTATCTTGTACTGCAAAACACTATGTCCACAGCTCACTCTACCCTTTGCACAAATGCCTTGGGTGAATCAAACTGCATGCTCTTACCCTTCTTATTCTTTTAACTTTCACTTTGTGCAGAGTAGCCAAATACCTCCGAAAATATGATAAAAATAAAACATGGTGATCTACACACTCACAATTGCCAGAAATTTATGGGCTTCAGCTGAGAGAGGTAGGGCTGCTCAGTAGTGAAGAAGCTGGGAAAGATGGATATTTGCTATCTCACAGTTCCTGTGACCTTAGGATTTCTTGCTTCTTCTTTCTCGGCTTCCTGTCTAAAAGAGCACTCTATGAAGATGCTGCGAGATATACTGGAGATAGAGGTATTCAGATACAGGTAATGTCTGTGTGATGGAGAGAAACACAGGCACTGTTTCAGGTGTGCTTACCTGAAGAAATGCTCACAGACACACTGACCAGCCATCAAGACTTAGCAGCCAGCAGAGCTGGTGCCACTGTGTGCATAACTAGGTTTCTCTCTCAGCTGATGTGTCACGTAAGTCATTAGCCTGGGATGCTCTGAATCAGTATGATCCAGCCCTGCAGTCTGGGGTAGATGTGGATGCTGACAGCTGAGCCTGGGTCATCACAAGCACCACAGCTCTCCAGCAGTATTTCTGCCATTGATGTTGCCACTGAGCACTTATTACTCCCCTTAGCATTGATGTTGCTGAGAGATCTGCTTTTCTAAGACTGAGAAAAGACAAAGTTTAAAGGAAAACAAACAAAGTCAGGATGGTTTTGATGTTTGATTGTGAAGGATTTTTTTGGGAGGGTAGGTAAAAATAATCAGACTTTTCCAGATGCAGTTGAAGTCCCTGGATGAGCTGGGTAGCAGGCAGCAAGGCACAAGGTTCAGTTTTGGATGGTTGATGTGTTTTTTCTGCACCTTCTGACAAAGAATACACAGAATAGCAATGGGAAAACACCTGGTTTTCATACGGAGATGTGGTGAAGTAATGAGTCTAAGTAATGAACATTAGCAGTGCTCTTCCTTGGGGGGAAAAGGTACTGCAAAAATATATTGTTTTAATATTATTATTATTATATATTTCTTTACTGCATGGAGCCCAGCAGACACAGGCTGTAAATGTTACAACTCACCGAAACCAATGCACTGAGAAATGGTGGTTAATGCAAAAATGGGTGGACTTGAGTTAAACTGAATTAAATCTCTTTACCAGGGTTTGTAGCCATAGGACAAGGGGTGATGGGTTCAAACTGAAACAAGGGGAAATTCAGGTTAGACATAAGGAAGAAGTTCTTTACTGTGAGGGTTTTGAGGCTCTGGCACAGGGTGCTCAGAGAAGTGCCCCATCCCTGGCCGTGTTCAAGGCCAGGCTGGAGAGAGCCCTGGGTGACATGGTTTTGTGTGACCCATGGCAAGGGATTGGAACTGGATGATCTTAAGGTCCTTTCCAATTCTAACTGTTCTATGATTCTATGAAATTAAGGAGGAGATAAACACCAAACTAGACACGAACCAACACTTCTGCTGGTGCAGTAGAACAGTGCTGGTCTGTTTTCTCTCTCTAGAACACCTTGGCGAAGGCGCTTTATGACAACAAGGCAGAGTGCTCGGATGAGCTGGCCTTCCGCAAAGGAGACATCCTGACGGTTCTGGACCAAAACGTCATCGGCAGCGAAGGCTGGTGGAGATGCTCCCTCCACGGCAGGCAGGGCCTGGCCCCTGCTAACCGCTTGCACCTACTTGCTGCCTCACAGGCTGCCCTGCTGCCTCCTTCCACCCGGAGCGGTGCCGCAGAGTCACCACCCGGCCAGCAAAACATCTACCAGGTTCCTTCCATCCCCAAGCCCACTGTGCTGTCATCTACCTATGAGAAGATGGAGGGGTGGGTTAAATCTCCAGCGAGGGTCTCCTCTCCACCTGCCCAAGCAATATACCAGGTACCAGCCGTGGCTGCACAGCTGCTCAGTGAAAGGACGCAAAGCTCAACAAGCCAGGTAAGAACATAGGCAGCTATAAAAGTAGTAAGTGTTATTATTAAAACTATCATTGGGAGCAGGAAAGTAATAACTGCTGTTGGCCTGGACATCTCAGTGGAATTCACAGCAGAGACATTCAAATAAATGGTGTTTAGGAAACTCCCATCAATTCTGTTACAGTTTATAGCATTGTATGAGAAATGCTGCTCTGGGCAACATACAGTACTCTCTATATTCTGTAGTCCCTCACTTTTCTGACAGTTTAAAGAGGCTGTCAAATAAGACAGGAAGTAAAGAATATACCATGTGTTTTGGAAGAATCTAGAAACGGTTTACAAACCTACCCCAAAGTTAAAATAACAAGACACAGAGCTTTTTGCTCTGTTGGTCTACAGCATCCAGAGTCCTCTGGGCACATGTGGGGTCTTTGCACCCATCTGCACAGGAACATGATTTGTAATTAAAAAAGCCACCCTTTGCTGTGTGATTGATGTCTTTGGTGTAGTTTTATTATTTCCAGCACCTCAGTAAGTGCTGTGATCTGATTTCTCCACATTCCTAACCATAAAGAAGCCATTTGCAAACTCAGTGTGAGATGGATACAAATTGTCCATGTCGTGCCAGCAAAACAGGCTGAAAAATGTTCTTGATCTGGATAAATGGCCCCATAGAAGATGTCCTTGGCTATTCCTGTGTCTCTATCATTTAATGAGTTTATATACCTAAGCCTTGTTTACTCTAACAGAGAAAGACAAAACAACATCTTAGGCTGCTTTTAAGAAGTTCAGATTTGCCTGAGCTGCCTCTTGCACAATGCCCCAGCTGTTACTACACCAACTGTACTGTGGTGGTCACAGATGCACAAGGAGGCTCGGGGGTGAACAGGCTCTGTGAGGGCACAGGGAACCTCCGCAGTCTGGGCAATCCCATGTAGACCCTATGGGACAACTGGCAAAGTTCCTGGCATACTCAGCTGCCCTCTGAGCAGCTGGGTAAAGCCACTGTAAATCTTTGAGGGAGTTGATTGAAAGCAATAAAGCACAGCAAAATCCCCCAAAGCCTGTGTGCTTTCACCCTATTGAAAAAGCTTTGTCAGTTCTGCCTAACATCAAGGCACCTTCTTGCTTCACTGTGCCTGAAAGTACTTTAAAATAGCAAGAAAAGATACTTGGTTTAGTTTCCTTTCTGTGGTACACTGAACAAGATCTATCCATCTGAAAACAGACCTGAGCTAAAGATGCCTTTCCTTTTACCCTTTTAGCTCAGGAAAGTCTCTTCTATGCCTCTGTTTGCAAGCAAGTTGGCTTATGTCACAGAGCACTAGAGGAATTGTGCTCATTCCTTGCTCCCTTCCTTCATGAAGCAGGCAGTTGTAAAGCTGGACCCTTGTTCCTCTGAATTCAGCGGCTACACCACTCACATGGTGGGGAACACTACCTCCAACATTAAATACTGTGATTTCTCTTTTGCAGTAGCGTTTCTGTGGGTCAGTAACGTGAAGTCCATTTATGAACTCCTTGTGGAAAGCTAGGCTAAACCCATCCTGAACGAACAAAATTCAGTGGTTTGGAAGCTGATTTTTAACAATGTCCTCTCCAAACATTCATACTTTGGCACCTTAACTCACTGTCCCACCAGTCATGGCCCTTCAAATTACATTTTCAGCAAACAGGAGAATTAGTCTGTAATTGACCTCATGTAATTCCCATATCAGACTTCTCTACAGACTGGTCAGGACATCAAGGTTACTCCTTCCAAATGAGTCAGTCTTTCATAAATACAGAATAATGTGTCTCAGCCTGTACCTTTTTGTTGCTCGTACTTCCACTAAATATGACTTGACCTGATGGCTCTGTGGGCCTGAAGAAGTGGAAATTCCCCCACTTACTCTTTTTAGTGGTTCTGCTTTTGGGTAGTCTAAAGATTAAAGTGATAAGCTGGGTTTTCCCTAAATCTTTTCCTTCCCCCGGTTAGTAAGGCAGATCACCTTTGGTTTGTATGTGCCAATTCTAATCTGAAATAAAGCAGAAATGCTGGCAAAGGAGAATTCTGGGGGAAAAAAAAACACCATGCAGGCTTGTAAGGTCAGCTCCTGTCTATCACTGTCAGTGAAAAGCTGGAAGGTTTTTAATCCCTTAAGAGTGATTACTCTGACAGTGGCCTATTCAACTTGAGTTTTCAAAGATGTCCTGAGCTTAGTGCTCGCTGCAGCTCTCTCACTGTTGGTTTTTCTCCCCCTCTAAGCATCTGTTTACTCTCCCGAGAGCGTGCTGGGCTTCAGTCCCAAGTATCAGGAGTGAGGTGTATGATGTTCCATCCACACAGCGCCGGGAGTCCTTGCTCATGCAGGTGAGTCCAGCCATGGTCCCCCCTGCAGCTCTGACCCTGCAGGACTTCAGAATAGAGTTTCAGGTAAATTCTGGTGGTTTCCTATTCACTTTTTGTAGAATTTGGCAGAAAATAATCTATTTTTAGGGAAGTTCAAGATGTAAAGCAGTTCTCTTTGGAGTTTGGTAGACATTTAGAAAAATGTAGCTTATCTGGTACATTTCTAAGAAACACTTCTTGTTTTACCACTACTGAATAATCATTTGATCAGGAAGATTTCAAGATGTTCATAGAAGAGTCACTAGTGCATGTGCAAAAAGAAACTAAATGTCACCCACACCACTTGCCTCCTGGGCAAGAAAATGCAAGGGATTAGGCACACTCAGGGTAAGGGCAACATGTTGGCTGCATCTACTGCTGAAGCATCTTGTTACACGATCTTGCTCTTGCTAACATGCTGCCCTGGGGAGAGCAAGTGTCACCGTATCACCTCTACACCTCACTGCAGCCCATGTAGGTCACCAGGATGGGACAGACGCCAGGACCCATCCTGTCATCTACCACACAAAGGTGCGTGTGGGACTGGAGCATGTCCACAGAGCCTACACACACACCTTATGCTCCTGACACTGCAGGGTTGAACCCACTCTAATTCATTTATTGTTAAGTTATCCAAAACCTCCATTGTGTTATCCACTTTGTATACGTGGGGTGATCCCTGCTCAGACCAAAAGTTAGGCAATTAGGTGGTGGCTGCCTTGCACAATACAGTATATCACCTGAAAGCCTTTGACTCTGTCCAAGTCTTCAGTGGGGTCTCAACAGGGTTGAAGTCAACCTGGTTTTATTGCCTTTGACTAGATTGGTTCCACTCCGCCCACAGCACGAAAGGGCGCTGTGCTTGCCAGATCCACTGAGTGTTTCCAGGAGGAGCAGAAGCAGCTTTACAACATCCCATACAGCCCAGAAAAGGCAGGAGGTGTTACCCAGAAAGACTCACCAGTGGGCAATGTAAGTAAGGCTTGCTGCACACGAGAGAATAATCTCTCATTACTGGGATGTTGTGCATGTGTGCTGAACCTCCCTCAAGGTGATGGCAGGGGTAAGACCAGCACATCTTCAGTGTAGTGCTTTGTCCTTCCTATTAAAGAGACAAATGCTGCCTGGCTCCTGGATAGTCACGGTACCTACCAGGACTAAAGCTACACCTGTGATCGCGTTTGATTTTTAGATTACAGGCAACATCACCTCTTGCCTTGACTTCTTTTTATGACAGTGCAAAAAGCAAATTCAGTACCCTACATTCTTGAATGTCTGTAATATTCAAACAAATAGAAATGAATGGTCCCTATTCCATGCAGCACTCTCCTGACACTTTTTTGGGGAGTGAAGCACACCTGGTTTCGGGGGGTGGGTCAGGCTTCCCCCTATTTGATAAGTACCATCCTTAAAAAAAGGACTGATCTGAAATTTCACAACAAAGAAAATGCCTCAATGGAAAACTCTTTATGAGTTGAGTGCCAATTACTTCAGGTTTCCTGAATGGTTTTAAGATCCAAAAGAATTTTTACAGGCTCCTTAGCACACGTGCCCAGGGCTAAGATACGATCTTGCAGCAGACTAGCCAGCACAGGAAATCTGAGGCTTCCTGGTTTTGTGGATTTAAAAAGAAATGCTGCAGGTTCATGGGTGCCTCATGATTAGAGAAACCAGCCTTGCACAGAGCCTGTTCAGCTGTGATAGTAGGACTGGTGCTACCCAGAACTGGGGTGCTGGCATATGAGCAATTGTTCACTAAAGCTAGCATTCCTGATAGCTTCATGGCTGTTAGCAGTTGTACCCATCAGCTGCAACAGTCTGGGAGCAGGTTTCCTTCCAGAGACATGGTTTATTGCTGCTTCCAAAATCAAATTTTCTTAGAATTCTTTGTTTGTAGGCAATTTGGAAAAAATCTGGCTTTGCTCTGAAACACCCATGTCTGGGCTCCCCTTCTCACACACATCTTCTGCAAATGGGGAAGCCTGACCTGGCCAGTTCTTCATAAAAAACTTATTATAGACCAGTTCCTTTAGATGTTTATTGATGCTGCACAGTCCTATAGCTCCTTGCACTCCCTAGTGCTTGTGCTTCATGTGTGTAATGCATCCAGGTACAATCCCTCCCGAAGTGCCTGTTAGTATTAGTCTGTATTTTCTTACACAAGAAGTGGTCCTGCATTCACGATTTCCAGCTTTGACTTCAGCTGTACACAGACATTTTTCAAGGCATGGGGCAAGTTCTGTTTCCATCTTAGCAAACCTGTATCTCTTATTGCAGTTACTTGAGAGCTGCATACCTTTACGGGCTCTAAAAATTCAGTTTTGTTTCTTGTTTCAAACAACAGTTTATAAATCCTGTGTGCTCTGTTGCAGTTATATGATGTCCCTCCCAAAAGAGAAAGTGATGTTGCAGAAAATGAATCTCAGAAAAAGTGCTGGGGCCATTACAATACTTTGCCAAATCCTCGCAAGTCAGAATGGATTTATGATATTCCAGTATCACCTGAAAAAACAGGATTAAAAACCCCTTCTGGCCATTCCCTGGAGAACCAGGTGCTGTATGACATACCACCAGCCAGGTACAAGGCATTAACAACAAATACAGAAGCCAAAGCTGCAAACCCACAGTTATATGATATTCCACCAATGCAACGGAAATTAACATTTCCAGATACCCATCTTTATGACGTTCCATCCTCACGGGATGTGCTCCTTTTGCCACAAAACGGTAGCTGTGATGTCCCCCCACTTCTCGTGGCTCCAAAGGCTGAGAATCAGATCTCTGAAGAGAATGTTTATGATATTCCAAAAGGTTTGCCCACTGTTGTGGAGTCCAAGGAAGAGCTGGAAAAAAGCAGCGATAATTCTGGAGAGCAAGCATACAGTGCTTCTCCACAGCTTTCAAGAGATGCTAAATTAGAACAAGACAGATTATCTGTTTCTAGTGTGGACAGCAGAACCAGCACCCTCTCTACATCCTCGAACTCTTCTGCTGAGTCTTTTTCTATCTCATCAGAAGAGCCTGCCAAAGAAATTAAACTGGACCTTGATGTAGCCATAGAGACCCTGACTAGATTGCAGCACAGTGTATCCAGCTCTGTTGCAAGTTTAATGATCTTTGTGAGTAGTAAATGGAGGTTACAAGAACATCTAGAGAAAAGCATTGAGGAAATCCACAGAGCAGTCGATCACATAAAAGTATCACTGGGAGAATTCTTGGCCTTTGCTCAACTTGTAAAGGTAAACGCCTCTTACCTCTCTGATAACAACATTCAGACCAGAATTAAAAAACAGCTAGAAATTCTCACAAACTCCTTCAAAATTTTAACAGAAACAAGAGAAGCTCTAAACAACTGCAGCTGGTCACTAGAGGCTTTGGTCCTCAGGAAACCTCAAAACAACCCAGATGATCTTGATCGCTTTGTTATGGTAGCCCGCACGATTCCAGATGATATCAAGAGGTTTGTATCCATCATCATTGCCAATGGAAAGCTCCTCTTCAGAAAGAATGAGAAGGAACAAGAAATGAAACAATCAAAAGTGATCCCAGAATACAAAATGGCAAAACAAATCACAGTGCCGAGAACAGAAATTGATTCGCTTCAAACAAATACTCCTGATAAATCCAATCAAAGTCAGGCCTCTTCTGAGAAGCCAAAAGAAAATGCCACTGAGGACTCTGATTATGTTCAGTTACAGGTTAGTATAACTGGATTTTACTAGCTAGCTACATTCTTCAGGGTTTGCAAACACTAAGCTATTAGCACTCATATCTTTGCGTTGATGCCAAATTCAGTTTGCACTATTTCTATTTTCCAGACTTCACATGAATTCAGGATTTTGTTACAGGGCTGGATGGCACATGTAGAATGATCATTTGAAGTGGCATTTGAGAATTTAGGCAGCCAGCCAGCACTGAGAAAAGATTTTTAGCTTCTAGGTGGGGATTGCCAATTTGCTGCTTCTAACTAGTAGTTCTCTTCTTGCCAACACATTTTGTTTGATTCTGACATGACGCTACAGGAGATGTTCACTTTCTAACCTGAGGTATATTGGAAAGCATGCTTTAGTAAAAAGTTTTGGTTTAACAAATTAAACTCTTACTGTGAATTATCAGATTTGTTAGAAGCATTCTGGATGCTTGTTAGAATCATTCCCCTTACAATTACTGAAATGTCTACAAGAATGTAACTCTTGGTTTCACAAAGTAATGCTGGCCTCTCCTTAGAATTTCAGAAACGTTATGTTTTGCTGATGTTGGTTTCAGTCTTAGCTCTTGCTGGATCAGACATGAAATTTTTAGTAGGAAAAACCCTATAGTTGCTTCTCATAAGCATACTAGTTTTGTTGCAACATGAAGGCTGCATAGTAAGTAGTTATTTCACCCTGAAAGAAGAGGAAAAACACATTCGTATTTAAATATTTAATGTAAACCATTTCAAGTTTGCTTTCATTTTGATTTGTAACAGGCACAGAAAATCATTTCAGGTAAAGAAGTCGCAAAGAAGAGCACACACTCAAAACCAAAGGTATTTCTGATTTTGAAAACTATTACTTATGAGGACTCCTGGTCCCCGATTGCTAAAATTCAAAGTAATTTGCATTTGGATACACATATCTATACAGAGAGATCGATTTGGTTTCTCCTAGTTAATTTTTCCAGAAGTAGTTCTTAGAATTACTGCCGAAAACTTGTGGAAAGCATTTATTTTCCTAAAATGGAATGAACCACTATAGTTTAAAGTTATACTATTTATTTGCTTTCCTTTGTGTATCATATGGGGTAGGGCTGTGAGAGTAGTTCAAATACCTTGTATACCACTGGCATAAGGATTGACTCTACTGTTGTTGTACAGTTTTAGTCATTCATAATCCTCATGAAGTCAGCACCATTAAAGATCAAGACTGAGTGTTTTGTACTATCTGAAAGCCTGAAGTCCAGATCGTATATAAAGGATTGATGTTACACTACAGCACTTTGTGTGCTATCCATTATTAAAACTGTATTCAGTGACAATCAGGAGAAAACACCACTTTGAAATTGAGTACATTATGGAAAGAGAAATGATTGTAAAAGACTTCTGGGATGTGGCAATTTGGAGACTATTAACTAACAAAACTGTTAGTGAAGGATAGCAGGTAGAGTAAAAAAATAAACAGTGTGCCACCAAGCTGAGTCTATTTATTTTTATTTAACCTTTTTCCAGGTTTTGCCATCTGCAAAGAAGACTGTGATTCAAAGCAAGCAGGACTCTGCAAAAAAAATAGCTCTCCCTGAGCACTGCAGGCTGTGTTTCGGTGCACTTCACAAGGCAATTGGTGTATTTACTATGAGTCTGAACAACAACCAGCCGCCCGAAGTCTTCATATCCCACAGCAAATTGATCATTATGGTGGGACAAAAGTTAGTGGATTCTCTCTGCCAAGAGACTCAAGACAGGGATGCTCGGAACGACGTTCTCCACAGCAGCAGCCGGTTCTGCAGCCTCTTGAAGAATCTGGCTCTCGCTACTAAAAATGCTGCAATACAATATCCAAATGCAGATGCCATTAGGGGACTTCAGGACCAAATTGAGGAGCTGTCTAAATACACACAGCAATTTAGAGCAATGATGGAGTGAAAGACACTGCTGTTTTTACAGATTCTTCATTGTTGCTGCTCCTCTGGCATGAGGCAGTCAAGGGAGGCAAAAGAAGCTCAGTGACACTAACTTTAAGTCACCTCCAAGAACTCCTGCTGGGAAGTTCCTGGGTGCTGGTGCACTTTTAGTAGGTGAAGATCCACACAGCAGCAGATGTAGAAAATGTAGAATTAAATCTGTATTTTCTTCTCCATTCTTTAGATCCCGCCTGATTATGTCCTCATCTTAGTGTCTGGGCAGGAATGTTTGTTGTGTATTAGAGCAAAATTATTTTATTATCTGGCTGATTTCTTATTTTTTAATTTCTATATAGGTCAGATATTTTTCCTTTATTTTTAGTTTCTTATTCAGGTATGTCAAGTCTCTTTTTAGACTTTGCTGCACAATGTTCTGTAATTTATAATATCCCATCATCGTTCCCTGAGGACTTTACTCACAATTTCTAATTATATTTTTTCAAGCAGCAGAGATTTTTATTATTTTTTTTTAAATACACGAATGTGATGCATGTATTATATGACAAACTCTGGCAGGTACTGCACGTATCCTAGATGTTAATGGGAAATGCTCCAGCTGGTAGCTGAGCACAGAGGAGAGTAAACTTGGAGGAGTCCTGGTAAATCTACAGGGAGCTACATATCAGCATAGAACCATAGTACACCAGGTTGGAAGGGACCTCAAGGATCACCTGGTCCAACCTTCCTAGGCAAAGCATGACCTAGACTAGCTGTCCCAACACCTTGTCCAGCTGAGTATTAACAGTGTCTAGGTTGGGGAATTCACCACTTCTTGGGGAGATTCTGTCTGATTGTTTTCATTGAGAAATATTTCCCTCTTGTGTTCACTTGTAATCTCCTCAGGAGTGACTTGTGCCCATCACCTCTTGCCTTTCCATGTGACCCCTTGTAAAAAGGGAGCCTCTCCATCTTCTTTGTTCTAGCTTTTAAATACTGGGACAGTCCTGCCGCAGCCTGGAGCTGTTCCCAGCATTGCTCCAGCTGAAACAACAATTTCAGTCACTGAACAAGCAGCGGCTTTGGAGCAAAGCCTTGCGAACAGGACAGGGCTTGTACTATGCTGGCCTGTGCAACTTGCCGGACTTTATCCCCATATAGCCTGGATCTGAACAACAACAGTGGCCGGCCACCACCCAGGCAGACTGTACTCCTGCGTTGTGAACGTCCCAATTAGTTTATTTTAAAGGTTTTATCTGAAATCTCAAAGCCGGGCCCTTATTGGCAGTGTCACACCTGTGTCTTTGTCCTGGACCATTACCTTTGTGCGCAGTTACAGCTAATTGGCACTGCCCCGCTGCACACACGCTGTGGAAACCCAGCTCATCTTCCTCGGCTGCACCTTCCCTTGGCAGTCGCCACGGCTTTTACCGCTGTTTAAACACCGGCACTTGTCAAGAGTACTGTTTGCACAGCCCGGTGCACGAACCGCAGCCCACGTTGGCTCTGAGCTGTATTAAACTCGTCCCTCGCGTGATCGTCACCGCCCCTCCCGCCTCAGCGGCCCGGGCAGCGGCAAGGCGAGCAGGGGCACCCCGCGGCCCACCCCTGCAACACCTCGTTTGGCCATAAATCACCCAAAATCGGTGTCCGATGAGGGGTTTCCTCATACCAAAGGGGGAATCCCGCTGCAGTGAGGTGCGGGCAAGGACAAGCCGCCGGGTGCTCCACTCTGTCAGGAGCCGTTGCTCCCCCCCCGGTGCGCGGTGGTACATCCCGCTCCCCTCCGGCACCGCCCGATGGACTCGCCCACCCCGCCCCGTCCCACCCCTCCCTCCTTGAGCTGTGGCCACGCCCCCAGCCGGCTGGTTGCTATGGAGCAGCCATGACTCGCCGTGTGCGCCGGAAGTGCTTCTTATCTCCGGAAGTGTTTGTGCTGTGAGGAAGTGGACGCGGAAACGCTGCGGGTGGGGGAGCAAGATGGGATGCGATGGTGGCACCATCCCCAAGCGCCATGAGCTGGTCAAGGGACCCCGCAAAGTCGAGAAGGTTCGAGGGGGCTGCGGGGGGCGCTGCCGGGAGCGCGGCCTGGGCCGTCGGGCCGGCCTTGTGAGCCTAGGCCCTGCCCGCGGCCGATGAAGAGGCCTTGGGAGGGCCTGGTGAACGCCGCCCGGCTCGCTGAGGTTGGCGGTTGGCAACGGGGGGGAAAGCGCTTGTCTGCGGGTACCGCCTCTTGGTCTGCATCTATGGCGCTAGTGGCAGTTACAGCGGAGATCTGTGGCTGTCCTGGAGGGCTTTCCAGGCACGGGGCATTCTGCCTTCACCTAGAGGGGTGGTGTCTGATGGTAATGCTTCTAATAAGTAGTTTAATAGTGTGGCCAGACTGGGCCATTTCAGCATTCCATCTGCCTGTATTCTGAATGGTGCTTGGACTCTTTTTGGCTGATGTTTTAGGGTAATGAATATACAATGGTATCCTCTGTGCATATAGGTGGATGAAAGTTTGGGAAAATCTCACAAGAAGCATTAGAAAGTGTAGATAAACTTTGCGTGCTGGTGTAAAATAAGTAAATAAAATCCTTTTCCTCTCCACACCAGGCTATTGGAGTAGGTGTGAACCTCAGCCTTTCTTTTATGGCCTTATCTGTCATAAAATTTGTGGATTTAGACTGGAGGAGCAGGTAGCAGCCTAATATCCCCATATTTGCTTTTTTTTTTGCTATCTTGGTCCTTACAGGGAGTGGATCTGGTAGTTGACCCAGGCAGGGGGGAGATGAAGAATTAGAGGGAAGAGGGCAATGGAGAAAATGTGAAGACCAAAAAAGAATAAAGAGGGAAAGGGACAGGTGGAAGTGGCAAAAAATAGGAAATCTGAGTCAGATGAGGGAGATAGGTCCCCAGTCCCATAATGCGGGAAAAGTTAATAGAGGTAAACTCTCAAAGCTGATACTGAATTTTGCTAAAAAGATTTGCTAAACCTATTTAATGGGTAAGCTTTGAGTGTAGAAAGTAGGTTTGGTAAGATACCTGCAGATTTGATTAAAGCTCCAAGTATTACTTGATTTTTATGGTTAAGTAATTTGCAAATACAAAAGCTATTTTTAAATCAGAAGTATATTGTTTTTCCTTCAGGCTGACAAAAATGCTGAATTGGTGGCAAAATGGCACTACTGTGCTCTGAGTCAGGAGAAGTTGCGTCGCCCAATTGTGGCCTGTGAGCTGGGCAGGTATGAATGTTTCCTTATAGACCACTGTAATAAAAGGTGCTAATTTATTATTGAAAGAATGTTATGAGTATCAAATATGTTTACTAATTTTTTTTATATTACAGGTTGTATAATAAAGATGCCATCATTGAATTTTTGTTGGATAAGTCAGCTGATAAAACTCCTATGACAGCTGCATTACACATCAAGAGCATCAAGGTAAACAGGTTGTGTCAAATAGTGAAGAGTGCCATGAAAGTTAAAACATGCAACAAGACCTCAGTTTGCTTGTCTTCTTAGCATACACTAAAAGTGTTAAAAATAGCAAATCACGCTAAAAAAATCTTAGGGAATGTTATCATGGCTTAAGAATGATTATTAAATAGCTTAAGACTTACATTTTTGTTTTTCAGAATGTAACAGAACTAAAGCTTGCAGATAATCCAGCTTGGAGTGGTGATAAAGAGAGTATAAAAGGTGACAAATATGATGACATGCAGTCTGCACGCTTCATATGCCCAGTGGTGGGATTAGAAATGAATGGAAGACATAGGTCAGTATTGAAGTTTCTGGATTTTATTTTAAAAGTCATTACTGTGCTAAACGGAATATAGAGTAGGTAAAAATGTTTGAATTAATGGTGTTGCAAATCACATGTATGCTCAAGCCTTTGTGGGGAATATTTGTCTTCATTTCAAAAGGAGGGAGTTGAGACTGCTAAGTGTTCTGTCTTTTTATATTCAAGAGGAAAGATAAAAAGTTAACCCTTTCATAAATTAATTTATACATGCAATAAGGGAATACAGAGGGCAGTGTTTGCAGAGAAAAAGTGACTAAAAGTTGTTTGGGGGCTTTACTGTGTGCATCAACTGAAATTTTAGGTGCTTAAAAATGTATTTTTATTGTTGTTTCTCTGTGGAAACTTGCATAAATCTGAAAATCCCTGAAAGTTTTTAAAAAGAACTTAAAACATTATTTAAAATTAAATAGAAGATTTGGAAAACAGATTTTGCTTACATAAGAAATTGATAAAATTTTGTCTTTATAGATCAAAGGAAGTAACAGAAGACTATCTGGTGCTGAAATCCTGTTTACTTCTTAGTATTTGATGCCCGAGATACCTTTTTGCATTAAAGGAGAGGAGCACATAATAGGGAGGGCTGGTTATGTGAGTGGGAGATAATAAACACTTGAGTCTATGTACTGGATTCTGTACTGTGAGGATGGTGAGTCACTGGCACGGGTTTCCCAGAGAAGCTGTGGCTGCCTCATCCCTGGCAGTGTTCAAGGCCAGCTTGGCGCAACCTGCTCTAGTGGAAGGTGTCCCTGCCCATGGCAGGGGGTTGGAATTGGATGAGCTTCAAGGTCCCTTCTAACCCAAACCATCTGTGGTTCTGTGACCTGTATTGACCTATAGCAAATGTACCAAAACATCTCAAAGAGCATTTGTCTTGCTAAGATCCACTTGAGAGATTGTCGTAAACCCATGATGAGTTACACCGAGAATGAAATAACAAAATGTGTTATGGTTTAATCTATTTAAAGATGCCGATACTTTGATTAGCTGCAAGAATTTGTAAAGAAGTTGGCTGTGTCCTGCTAGCTCATTGCTGTGTTGTTTCTGTGTTAAATCAGCACTGAATAGGGCTTCTTAAAAACAATTGTATGTCTTGTCTTCTTCTCTTTGAAGGTTTTGCTTCTTGAGAAACTGTGGCTGTGTGTTCTCTGAACGTGCTCTCAGAGAAATTAAATCGGAAGTTTGTCATAAGGTGAGTTTTTCATTAGCTTTAGTAGCAGTAGGGTCACATCTGACCTCCACAGATAGATACACAGATACATACATATGAGTGTATGTGTATGTACGTATATATATATGTACATACACAGTTGCATTCACATCCACTATTGTAAAGCTTGTTTTTTTAATCTGAATTTTGTTGAGGGATGGATGTAACTTGATTATTCAATGCAGGAATCAGATGGTTTGGCTAGTCTGATGATCTTGTAAAAACTAAATGAATCCCACATGTTTTCT